AAAGCTTTCGGGGAACACGTGGGCATCTTGAAGGTCATCTTGGCCGTCTGGAGGCCATTTTGACCCAATCGGGCCTTCTTGGAGGACGTCTTGGAGGGCTCTTGGGCCGTCTTGGGGGCCTCTTGGGGCCGTGTCTTGGGCCTTGGGCGATCTTTGGGGGCGCTTGGGCCGTCTCGGGCCGTCGGAAGGCAGAAAACAACAAATGCCACAATCATTCAACAACTTATAGGAAATCAATGATTTGGGCCTTTTCGGGCCTTCTGGAGGCCCTCTTGGATGCCTCTTGGGCCGTCTCGGGCCAGCTTAGGGCCATGTTCGGCCGTCTTGGTGGGCTCCTGGTCCGTCTGACGCCGTCGGAAGCCGTTTGGGGGCCCTCTATGGGCCGACTTGTGGCCCTCTTGGAATGCTCCGGCCGTCTTGGAGGACCGTCTTGTGCGTCTTGAAGGCCTCCTGTGCCGTCTTGGGGGCCTCTTGGGGCCGTCTTGGGGCCCTCTTGAGCCGTTTTGGGGCCATCTTCGAGACATCTTTGGCGATCTTTGGGCGATCTTTACGGGCTCTTGGGCCGTCTCGGGCCGTCGGAAGGCCGAAAAGAAGCACATGTCAAAATTCGTCAAACACCTTGTGATAATCAGCGTTTTGGGACTCTTCTGGCCTTCCTGGAGGCCCTCTTGGAGGCCTCTTGGGCCGTCTTGGGCCAGCTTCGAGCCAACTTCCGCCATCTTGGTGGGTTCCTGGCACGTCTGACCCCGTCGGGGGCCGTCTTGGGGGCCTTTCTGGGCCGACTTGAGGCCCTCTTGGGGCGCTTCGGGGCCGTCTTGGAGGCCATCTTGGGCGTCTTGGAGGCCATTTTGGGCATGTTGGAGGCCTCTTGGGCCGTCTTGGGGCCCTCTTGGGGCCGTCTTGGAGGCCACGTGGGCCGTCATGGGTCCCTTTTGACGGCCTCTTGGGCGATCTTGGGGGCCTCTTGGGCCGTCTTGGGCCGTCGGAATGCCGAAAAGGCGAACATGCCAACATCCTTCAAAAACCGAAGGGAAATCCATGATTTTGGCCCTTTCAGGCCTTCCTGGAGTACTTCTTGGAGGGCTCTTGGGCCATCTTGGAGGCCTCTTACGGGCCTGTTGGGCCGTCGTAGACCATCTTGAGGCCATCTTGGGCCGTCTTGGAGGCATCTTGGGGCCATCGTAGCCGTCTTCGAGGCCATCTTAAGCCATCTTAAAGACGTCTTGGAGACCATCCTGGGCCATCTTGGCCGTCTTGGACGCCATCTTGGGCCAACTGGAGGAAACAGAGGCACGACGGACGCGTTTTGAGATCCTTTCCAGGTGGCCGGCGGGACCGGCCGAAGCCCCAGGGGGAGTTCTTTTGGAAAAAAACCGAAACCAAAACCGATAGGATCCAGCACGCCAGGCAACCCTGCGATGAATCGACAGGGGGCGGCGGATCGAAGACGCCTACGGCGAATCACCGCCGCCCCCTGCCTTTTTGGAAGCGCCTATGTGGCCGAACGTTGAGGCCAGACCTGCCAAGCTATCGGACCATGTGTTCCCCGAATCGGTTTGGAAAGCCTTCGGGGAACACGTGGGCATCTTGAAGGTCATCTTGGCTGTCTTGGAGGCCTATTGGGCGATCTTTCGGCGATCTTTGGGGGCTCTTGGGCCGTCTCAGGCCGTCGGAAGGCCGAAAAGAAGGACATGTCAAAATTCGTCAAAAACCTAAGGACAATCAATGTTTTTGGCCTCTTCTGGCCTTCCTGGAGGCCCTCTTGGTGGCCTCTTGGGCCGTCTTGGGCCAGCTTCGAGTCAACTTCGGCCATCTTGGTGGGTTCCTGGCGCGTCTGACGCCGTCGGGAGCCGTCTTGGGGGCCTTTCTGGGCCAACGGGGGACCCTCTTGGGGCGCTTCGGGGCAGTTTGGGAGGCCATCTTGGGCGTCTTGGAGGCAATCTTTGGCGTGTTGGAGGCCTCTTGGGCCGTCTTGGGGCCCTCTTGGGGCCGTCTTGGAGGCCACTTGGGCCGTCATAGGGCCTTCTTGGGCGCCTCTTGGGCGATCTTGGGGGCCTCTTGGGCCGTCTTGAGCCGTCGGAATGCCGAGCAGAAGCAGCATCCCACATCCTTCAAACACCTAAGGACAATCCATGATTTTAGCCGTTTGGGCCCTCCTGACCTCTTGAAGGCCTCTTGGGCCGTCTGGGAGGCCTCTGGGGGGGGCTCTTGGGCCGTCTTGGACTCTCTTGGGCCGTCTTGGAGGCCGTCTTGGACCATCTTGGGCGGACTGGGAGGCCATCTTGGGCCATCTTCGCGATTGTTTGACGATGTCCCGAGCGAAACAGCTGTTTCAGGGAGCCGTCTTGGGCAGGACATTTGGGAATTCAGCGCCTTCTGGGTGGCTGGCGGGACGGGCCGAAGCCCCAGGGGGAGTTCTTTTGGAAAAAGAGCCAAAACCAAAACCGATAGGATCCAGCACGCCAGGCACCCCTGCGATGAATCGACAGGGGGCGGCGGATCCTAGCGGCCTTCGGCTCATCCTGCCACTGTGCCTGGGTTGTGCGTATGAGGCCTTTCGCATATGCGTTCGGGGGCCTCTCGGGAGCCCGTTGGGGGCGGGTTGGGCGCCTCTTGGGGGCATCTTGGGGCCTCGTTGGGTATGTTTTGGGCCGCTTGTAGGCATGTTGGGCGCGTCTCGGTCGCCTCGTGGGGCCTGTTGGCGGCCTCTTGGGGCCTCCTGGGGGCTTAACGCGGCATCGGAGCGCCCCTTGGGTAATCTTGGAGCCCTCTGGGGCCGTCTTGGGCCCCTCTTGGAGGCGTGTTGGGCTGTCTTGGGGCGGTCGTGGGAGAGCTCCTTGATCCTTGAGCCGTCTTGCAGCGTCGGAAACCCGAACAAGCGAGAAGCCCACATTCCTTCAACAACTTGCGTCACATCGGCGACTTGGGCCTCTTGGGGCTCATTCGGCAGGCCTCTTGAGGCGCCCTTGGGGCCTCTTGGGGCCCTCATTGGGCCGTCTTGGAAGCATCTTCTGACGCCTTGGAGCATATTTGGCATCGGAAATGCGGATTCGGTGTATTTTTCTATGTTCGAAGGTTTTGACCTCGGGGATGCGAATATCAGTAATTTACAAGGGGTCGGTGACTCGGGGACGCAATAATTGCGTGATTTACAAATTTGTGGCCTCGGGGACGCGAATATGGCATAATGTACGACGGTTTGTTGCTTCGGGGACGCAAGGATTGCATAAGTTATTACGGTGTGTGGCCTCGGGGACGCAATTGTTGCGTAATTTATACAGGAGTATGGCCTCGGGGGCGCGAGTCTCATGTATTGTTACGTGTCCCACGCCCCCCTGGGAATTCAGAGCACGCGATCCGAGGGTAGTGAATTGCCGGTTTGGGGATCCCCCTCCTTCGCGCGGACTTCGGATTGTAACTTCGGTGAAGCAGAAAGGATTACAGTTTCGGAGACTTGAAGCTGCAGTTGGCGCAGGGAGCAGCAACTTGGGCCTACAGCCTGGTGGCCCCACAAGGGGGCCGCCGGATTTCCATTGAGCTGCATGTGGCCGAGGGCCCCTCAAGGTGTCCTTGATTGTTGTCAGCACTATGCACCTGTTCTGTTGCTCCCTCGGCCGCCGCTCCCGCTTCCCCCCCCCGCGCCCCGCCTGGCCTCGGCGGGCCCTCCGCGAGGCCCCCCGCCTCGCCTAGCCTTCGCGGGCTTCCTGCGCAGCCTCTGCGCGCTTCCGCGGAATACTCTTCGCCGCGTGCAGGGAGGGGGCGTTCCTGCGAGGGGGGCGCCTTCCGACGGCCCGGCGCCCGACCCGCGGGCGCGATCCTTCGCCGTCGGGCATCTCTTGCCCCCCCCGACCGCGCGAGGCTCGCGCGGAAGTGCGGCACGCCCATTCTCTTGCGGCGAAGTCCCCTCTCCGTGTGCGAGGACTCCTTGAAGAACGAGGTTGCGTGGCAGGAGCGGGCGTAATGCCGGTGGTTGTTGGGGCTCTCGCTTTTTTTCCATCTGTGTCCCCCCCCACCCTCGCTTTTGCGTCCCCATTCGTGCCCCCCTGCAGCCGCTCGTCGCTGGTGCTGCTGCGTGCCCCCTCTCCTGCGCGCCCCCCCTGCTGCGGCTCCGCGGCGCTGGCGCCGCTGGCGGCGGTGGTGTGTTGGGTGAGCCTCACGGGGCGGTGACTTCTGCGTTCCTTGCCGCTCGCGCGCCAGGGATGCGCCGACCGTTTCCCCTGAGTGCCCTGTCGCCCCGCCCTCCGCCCCTCTTGCGTCTCTCTTTGCGGCCTCTTGCCTCTCTCCTCTTGACAAGGACGATGGACTATGGAGCGGGGCGTGCGCGATGCGTTGACACAACTCATCCTCCTCTTCCTCCTCTGCCTCCTCCTCTCGGTCCTCCTTCTCGTGCTTTTGTCCCCCTCCTCATACTCCTTCTCCTTTTGAATATCTAGATTATGGCCACCCTGCGTTTATTTCATATGTTGTTGGTTGTTCGTGTTAGTTGTTGTTTGTTTGTGTGTGTGTATGTGTGTGTTGTTGTTTTCTCTCTCTCTCTCTCTCTCTCTCCCCCTCTCTTTCGCTCTCTCTCTCTCTCTCGCTCTTTCTCTCTCTCTCTCTCTCTCCCTCTGTCTCTCTCTTTCTCTGTTTTTGTTGTTCGCTCTTTCTTTGTTGTTGTTTTCGTTCTACCTCCGCCCAGGCCTCCCGTTTTCACAGCGGCCGAAGTTTTCGCCTTGCCATCGGCCTGCCCGAGCCCAGCCCGCGCCCCTCTCGACGATCCGAGGAGGAGGGGGAGCGGCCGCCGCGCCAGCAGCGCAGGCGGCGGCGGGGAAGGCCCCCCCCCCCCCCCGCGGCGAGAGGCCTGGTTGCGGCGCGCCTTGGTCATCCACGCGCGCCGCCCCCCCCTGGCCCATCCCCCTGCTTCCTCCTCCTCGTCCTCCTCGTCCTCCTCCTCGTCCTCCTCCTCCTCCTCCTCCTCCTCCTCCTCCTCCTCCTCCTCCTCCTCCGCCCCCCGCCGAGAGGCCTGGCTGCGGCGCGCCTTGGCCATCCACGCGCGGCGAGGAGGTGATGGCGGCCCCGAGGCACCGCGCCGTTGCCCGCCGCGGGCGGATCAGGCGATCACAAGCATGGATCGGGGGGGGGGCGTGGATTCGGCACGAACGAAATGGGTACAGAAAGAACGGGTACAGTGCCCCACAGCAGTTCTTGCTGATTTTGAGCAGAATTCGCTGTCCGCGCCGCCGCGGCCTGTGTCCACTTGAGACAGAAGGCCGCCTGCCCAACAGCGGCCGCTGTTGGTTTGGGACAATATTTGTTGTTGGGCATTGGACTAAGTTTTTCCGTACCCATTTCGGGCGTTCAATGGATGGTGATTGTTTTTTTCTGCATTGTTTTGCCGATCGGTGCTGGCCCTCGCACCCTCCCGCCTCCCCCCCCATGTAGTAGATCCTGGATGTTTTTGGCGCCTGTTTCGAGCAGGTGGAGTCTCCCCCCATGGGACACTACTGCAGACAGTCGCACTGAGCAGGGGTCCAGATCGAGACCCCCTCCCTCCCCCCCCTCCCTTCCGTCCAATGCCGAAACGCCGAATAGGAAAACGCTCACATGAGCGTCGGGTCCCGTTTCCATGGATTGCGGATTTCCGCCGCCGGGCTAGGCGGGACCAGCCGCATTTTGGAGGGGGCACTTCCCCGGATCCATGGATTTGGCGACCGCGCGCCGAATCCATGGATCGCTAATCCATGTTTGCTCGCCCCCGAGTGGCGGGGGGTCGCGGCTGTTGCGCCCCCGGCGATCGAAATCGATACGGAAAGAATTGGCACAAAGACCAGCAGCAGTTCCTTCTCATTCTGAGCAGGATTCGCCGTACGGCGGCCGCTGTCGGTTTGGTACAACATATGTTGTTGTGCATCGTTCCCATTTTTTCCGTGCCCATTTCAGGCGTCCATGTCTGGCGTCCAGAGAGGATCAGGCGATCGCAAACATGGATCAAGGGGGCGTGGATCAGCGTCGGGTCCCGCTTCCATGGGAGATCGCGGATTTCCGCCGCCGAGCGAGGCGGCACCAGCCGCATTTTGGGGAGGACGCTTTCCCCGATCCATGGATTGGGCGACTCGCGCGCCAAATCCACGCATCGCTGGCCCATGCTCGCGCGCCCCCGAGAGCAGGGGGGCGCGGCTGTTGCCCGAGGCGCCCCGGCGAGGGCCTCGTCGGATGTTGCCGAGAGCGGTCGTGGCCCGAGGCGGCACTGGCCTGCTCCGGGGGGTGCAGATGGCTTACACCTTAGGCGATGCTTAAGAAAACTTAAGTTTTCGGCCAGAGTCTCGATTATTCTTAACGTTTCAATGTAAATCTTAAGTTTGTTATGGGAATGTTGGGTTTTTATTCAAGTTCTGAGACTATGAATTTCTTAACCCATGATTTCTTAAGCATTTCGCAGGGTGTACAGATCGATCGCCCCACGACGGTGCCCACAGGGTCTCAGGTGCCCCAAGGATCCTCCGGCCCGCAACGCTCCCCCTTACGCAGGGGTCGACCTCATTGGGACAACAACGAGTCAGTGTTTTTCTTCGTGTTCAGTGGCAGGGGCGTTCGGTGCCCTGGACCCCTGGGAAGCTTCGCTGTGACTGACACGGGTCCCAGGGAAACCAGTTCATGAGATTAGATCCCCGTCGTTGGCTTCCCAGGGCTCCCCGCGGGCCCCGGAATGGTCAGGAACAAAAAATTGATGAAGAGTTGGTTTCTGGGGACAACCCCAGGGTCCCGGACCCGTTTCCCTGAGGACCCCTTTCTTCCGTGCTACAGTGGCGACCCATGCCAATAAACACCTTGCTTGCCTCCAGGGTGCCCTGGGCTTTTTGGGTGTCGATGGTTTTGCTATGGAAAGCGTGACGTTCCCACACCAAGAACCAATTGACGTCCCGGGGTCTCAGGGCTGGCTTTCTTGCGGGAGGTTTCTTGTGGTCGAGTCTTTACGGTAAAAGTGGCCGAAAGAACCACACGATATCGGATCTCTATGAACGCGTTCGCTCGCCGCGCCTTGCGGCACGGCAGGCGCTCTGAGTCACCGTGTCGCGTCCGGAGCGCCGTCGAGCCGCGAGAGTTAGATATAGACTGTGGCCTCTCTCTCATCTCGGGCCCCCTCCTCTTCCCTTCATGTCTGCTCTTCCGAGTTGCTGGTGGTACCCAGACCACTGGTTACACTTCGTCTTCGGTCGCGATCGGCAGCGACCGATCGGCACTCCAATCGGTCGTGACCGATCCCCAAGTCGGTCGCGACCAGTCGCCACCGATCGCGACCTGTCGCGACCGATTGGTCGCGGCTGATTTTGAAGCAAATCGGTTGCTACCGATACCTGAAATTTGTATCAAAATGGGTAGCGACCGATCTGGTCGGACGCGACTGGAAGCTTCTAGGATCCAATGATCAGGGTACCAACCAGAGGTCTGGGCTGCAGCTCCTGGGGCCTAGCCCCAGCATTATGTCTTGTCCAAGGGATCTGCCCTTGCAGGTCCTGGATTTCGGACGTCATTCGGTCGCACATCAGAGCGCCATGCCGAACACATTCCTTGGTGATGCGGAGCGCTTCCCGGGAACCAATGACACTGAGCAAACGCCCGCCAGACCTCGGCATTTTTCACGAATGTCAGCTTGTGGTTGACAAATGCCCCCCCCCCGGGGGCTGATGAATAAACCCCGCGGAGCGCGAAATTTTTCATTACGCGTGCCAGGGGGTCGTCGCTGGCGCCGCCGAGGGGATCGTGTACCCCCCTGCATGACAGGCCCAAAACGACTGCCATTCGAATAAAAGTGTTATGAGGGTCGTCCGAGGCGAATGTTCGTTCCCCCTCTCAGGCGTCGTCGTCGTCGTCGCCGCCGCCGCCGCCGTCGTCGTCGTCATCGTCGTCGTCGTCTTCGTCGTTGTCGTCGTCGTCGTGTTTTTCTTCTTCGTCGTCCTTGTCGTCGTCGTCGTCGTCGTCGTCGTCGTCGTCGTCGTCATCGTCGTCGTCGTCGATTACAGCGGGTCTGCGCAGCCCCCCCCCCATAGGGCATCCGCAGTGTGTCATCATCGTCGCCGTCTGCCGTCCGTCGTTCTCGTCCCGTCGTCGTCGTCGTCGTCGTCGTCGTCGTTGTCGTCGTCGACGAAGAGAGCGGACGCTGGAAACGGGCGCAGGCAGGGCGGGGGACGGCGTCGACGAGCGACGACGGCGACAGAGTGGGGGAGGAAGACTAGAGGAGGACTACCCGCCACTACCCGCCTTGCTCAGTTGCTCGGTTGCAAAGCCTGCTGCACGCAGCTGGTTTCGGTCGCCCCGCCGAAGGGCCAGTCCTCGACGCATGGCCGCTTTCGGCGCCAGGAGGCGCTTGGAAAATCGGCGGCGTAAGCTGCTTGGCAAATCCCCCCTTTGCTGCGCCCAGCTTTCGTCTAGCCCGCCATGCCTGCAGGCCCGCATCAGTTCGACACAAAGAGGAGCGCCCTGGCTCGCCGTTGTGTCCAACCCACCCCCCCTTGCCCCTCGTTGGAGGCCGGGCGTCGGCGCTAATCACCGGCGCCGCCCCATTGATTTCCAGTCTGGCGGGCGCCACCCCGCGATTCGCCTGAGCAGGGGACATTTAAAAAAACACGACCCCCACGGATTTGTTATTCACCAGCTGGCATTAAAAGGGATTCTCGGCCCGAAACTCGACATTCGGGTGTTGAGGATGCTCTGAGGTGGTCTGGTAGGTTGTCGGGGGGGGGGTCTGGGGACTGACTTCGCTTCGGGCTGCCGTTGTCTCGGCTCGCCCTCCGCCGACGCGTTCGTGTGGTGGCACGAGTTATTTTTAAGTCGGGCTTGTCCCTCAACAGGGGGAACATTCGAAAATAGTAGAACAATATGTTGGGGACCATTCATTCTGAGTGTTTTTGAACATTTTGGAATATGTGTCGAGTATTTTTTATATTTTTTTCGTCGGAAATCCCCCTGTGTGGGGGACACGCCCGACGTAAGTTTATCTTGGGAGGCCGACCCCTAGGTTCGGAGGTGGCGTGGGCTGCGTGAGAAGACGGGTTTGCGCGGCCGTTCCAGCTGCAGCGCTGACCTTGACACCGAGCCATCTCCAGCAGACGGCCCCAGGGACGGAGGCCTCGCCATCCGGCACGCAGGCTCACGCGCGTCATTGCAAGTCAACCCCAACACACGACCCCAGGGACGGACGCCTCGCCACTCGGCCCGCAGGCTCACGCACGCCGCTGCAGCACAACCCCTCCGTGTCACCGGATTCGGGCGACAGGGGACAATGGGGTCAATTGCGCGGACATTCGCGCGTCAGCTTCCGGCGCCAGGTTGCGCGTCAGCGCCTTTTTCCCCACGCGGTCCTTGGCGGCCCGCGCGAGTCGCGGCGCAGGGTCGCCGTGACTTCTCGCAAAAAGGCTCGTTTCGTTTCGTTGCTCACCTTTGGGGAGGGATATTCTAAAGTGTCATGCAGAAGCAATGGCCAGTTGACATATTTCGAGAAGAGAGGTAGGACTGCACACGACGACGCAGAGGGACCAATCGTGGTGAGCTAGACACGGAGGCCAAGCGGCCACCGCGGAGGAGGGAGGTCGGGTTGCAGAGCCCAAACTGCAGCGGATTGGTCGTCTTACACGCGTTTTGTTTTGTCAGTTTCCGCATTTGGTTCCGGCTCGGCGCCCTGGGATTCTTGCAGTCGTCAAAGTGATTTGGGGAGGTTGTTCGCACTGTTTGCCATATTCTACTGTGCGGTTCCCTCCCAGGCCTTTGGGTTCAGGCTTCGCTTCTTCCCTCAGGAACGGCTCATGGGAGAGGCGAGGGTTGGGGTTAGAAGGGGAGGGGGAGAAGGCAAGCTAGGTGCGCTCGCGACATATCGGACGTCCTAACCCTCCCTCCCATTCCTTACCATGGCGCAGATCTCTTCTCGAATCGTACAGTCGGATGTTTTAGCAGAGCATCGCATTACATGGCAAGCATGGTGTTGACGATCAACGCGTATCCTGACATAGCATGGCGGGGGGGTCTGCGGTCTAAAACATCAACGAATCGACACCGAATGTGTAATCACTTCCGATGTTTTTTCGGG